TTCACCCAAATCAAAATAAAATTAAAAAAAAAAAAAAAGAAATTATTTTAGAACTATAGTTTGATGGTGAACGAATGTGACACAGCAAGCTAAGGAAAAAGTACAGGTGCAAGCCCTGCAGTAAGGACTTCAGTATGCACTGACCTGGTTTAAAAATAAGGACTGCTCTTATGAAGGGCTGCTTTAAAATTTTGATGAAGATTAATGTTTTATAAAGATGTTAAGAGTCCCTGGCAGTGACTCAACAGTGAGATTTTAAAAACTCCCTGTAACTACAGTGTCCTTTCACTTCTTCAGACCCCTCAGCTCTGCTGAGACTGCTCTGTGGCTTCACTATGAACTCCAGTCCTGGCACTCCTAACTCTTCTCCCCCTGAACAGCAGGGCAGGCTTCACTGGTCTGCCTGCTCAACTCAGTCTCCAGTGAAGGCATTTCATCCATGAACCACAGATTCACTTGCCTACTTGAGCACCACTATTCTTTTTTTTATTTTTATTTTTGCTGTGTTCCCTCCCACCCCCGAGAATCAACAAATAAAGTTTCCTTCCATATATAAACCTTCCCTTGACTTTTTACAACAGTGAACCAATACAACATTTGTCATTTTATGTCTGACTTTTTTCACTCAGCATAATGTCCTCCAAGTTCATCCATGTTATACAGGAGCACCACTACTCTTCCTTTGCAAATCTCCAGGAGCAGGTCATTCAATCCAACTAATATTCATGGAGCACATGTAGCTGGTGCTAAGGAGCTCTGCTGGTGTAGTGGTTAAGGCATTTGGCTACTAATAGATTGGTGGTTCAAACCCACCAGCCACCAGGAAGAAAGATGAGGCAATCTGCTTCTGTAAAGATTTACAGGCTTGGAAACTCAATGGGGGTTACTATGAGTAACCTGATGGCTGTGATAGTTGGAGCTGTGTGTCTACTTGGCTGGACAACAATTCTGTGTGGTTTAAGCAGTTGTGATGTGGTTATTCCCATGATGGGATCATATGAATATGTTTTGAGCAGCCAATCCATTGAAAGGGCGTTTCCCTAGGGATGTGGCCTGTTTCCAGTATATTTATAGACATCCTGGGAAAAGAGACACTCTTCTGTGGATCGGGATTTTCTTGTGCTGCCTACAACTGTCTGTGAGCGAAGAATCCATCATTGGGCCTGGAGATCTTAGATTCGTCATTCATTGGCGTCAACAGCCAGTATACTGCCTGCCAACCTTGAGCTCCTCAGCCCCTGCAGCTGCATGAGTTGGGAAAAGCTTCCAGCTTGACATTTGATCCAAGAACTTGAGACCTCAAGCTTCTATAAGTGTGTGAACCATTTTCCTAAGATAAATTTCTCTCTTTGTAAATATATATAAGCTTTAGTGGTTTTGTTTCTCTAGAGAACCCAGTCTCACACAATGGCAGTGAGGTGGTTTTTTTTTTTTTTTAGTAGTTGGTGCTGAGGACACTACAATAATGACAGAACAGTCCTTGCTTTCAAGGAACAGCAGCTGCTTCCTCCAGTTACCTATCTCAGCTGGGTCCTCAGAATAGCCCAGAAACCCCCTCAGCTACCTCACCTTGACTCCTTGTAACATTTCAACAACAGTAGTCTCAAATATCAATTCTCTCCAAGTTCTCACCACCCACCCCTTCCATTCCTGTAGATGATTCTGCCTTCATAAAGGAGATTAAAGCCATCTCATTTGACTTTCTCCAAGCCTTCTCCTTTCCACCATTAACAACTCTGCATAGTCATGCTCCTCTTCTTTTACTCTTATGTCTGAGGAAGAAACTGGAGTTACCCAAAGATGGTTCCTGAGCCGCCTTCTCTTCTTTCCTAGATGTTATCTACTCCCATAGCTTTAAACAGCATCTCCGTACTATGATGGTGCCTACATTTCCATGTCTAGCAAAAACTCCCCTTCTGATTTCTAGATCTATTCAATTGCCTACTGTATATCTCCCATGGTATGTCTCTCACAGGTGCCTCAAATGCACGGCCGCAAAATGGAACTTAACCTCTCTGCTCTTTGCCCTCACCCAATCAAAACAACAAAGCAAAACAAAAACATAGCTATCATCAAAGCACAATGTTTAACTTAAGTTAATAAACCATGGATCATTATTAGAAACAAGGCCTCTGGACCAGTTAAACTTCAGTATCATTTTATCTGCACATGGTTTGCCACAGAATCCTCTCAGGCTACCACTTGGTATCACTCCTCTCAAAATTCATCAAACCAAATATCTAAAACTTAAATATAGTACCAAATTAAGATGTTTTAGCACCATTACTGTTTAAAGACATACTGTCCACAACCAGACTGTTTACCTTAATTTCTTGGGTACAATCATTTCTGAAGGACTCAAAGTATACTTTATTCCATTTTCAAAACAAAAGATCTTTCTACCCCCTCAAAACCACAACTCCTTTAAGTCTGCTGGCTATCCATCACTGTTTTTTCTATCAATACTGTACATATCATAGGCTTCCAAACACTTGTACCTTTTACACAGTCACTCCTTTTCTGGAATCTATTCTAAAAAAGCATTAAAAAGAGAAAACGGTTTATATATCTTCAACATATTATCTTTAACAAATATGTGTCACAGCAAAAAGAAAAGGAAGGAAAATGATTTAAGTTATAAATGTCCTGAGAAAAACAGTAAAACATCAAATGATTCATAGACCACTCAACTATGTCTAAGAAAGGGGGAAAAAAAAAAAAGATATATCAAAATGTTACAGAGGTTGTTTTAGGGTGATTTACTTTCTACTTTACTGTCTTTTATAACTTTCTTCAATAAGCAGGAGGGGTCGCTGTGAGTTGGGGCCGACTCTACGGCACATAACAACAACAAAACAACACTTACATTTTATACTGGAAAAACATTAAATTTAACCTCAGCTTCATTCTCAGACTACAATTTTAGTTTTCCATCCGTTAGTTTAGATGAGGAACAAAGTGAAGTCATGCAGCTCCATGACCAATCCTTGTGAGATTATCAGCTTATATCAATGTAAAAAAGCCTATAGCATTCCTTGGACTTCAATTGCATGCCATCAAACTGTGTGCAATAGACTGTGTGGTTACTGATGGTCACAAAATATCTGCACTTTAGTATGACCAAAAGTATGACTGTCAGAGTCATAATTTGTGTCTTTTTTATTTGACTTTTATTTTGATCATTCCCTTTGCTTTTTTTGTTTTGGTGAGATGGACTTTTTTTTTTTTTTAATTATTCAAAGTGCTTTTAACATCTTTTTAACTCTACTCCAGAAAAACACTTGAGTATATACAATATATACTGAAATTGTTTTTTTACAAGTTTACCAAATCTGATGGCATTTTACCAGTTCTCTTCTCTGAACAATCTGACACTTTTGACCATCCCTTTCCTACACAAATTGACTCCTTGCTTGGCTTTCATGCCACCACACTCCCCCACTTCCCTCCAATTACTTCATGCCAACAGCCATTCTCAAACCCCTTTATGGTCTCGTCAGACTCCTCTGCACTCTGAAAATACCTAAGTATTCCACAGAGTTTTGTTCTTGGTTTCCCCTGCCCCCTCAACACTCTTCCGCCATCACCTCTTCCCATCACACTCTTCCACTGGAAATCCAGCCCCACATGCTACTTTCTTACCAGTAATGTTTTGAAGGAACAGCAGAGGAATATTTCTTTGGCAGCATAACTGGATGAAGTGAGTTCCCTATAAGCAAATAAGATAAAAGTCTTTTTAACCTGGGATTATCAAATCTATAATCATATATCCACCACCATCATGACTAAATAAAATACAAGAAAAAATACACTTTGCTTGGCTAGTCTGATCTTATGTTAACTGTACCATTAACACTATGGTGGTGATTCATCAGCAGTAGGACATGTGACTGTGGGTTTGTATTGTACTTATTTTGCACTGTCACCTGTATAATCACTGTTGCACAGCTACAGGACAACTGCCACGTAGCAGATGAAGTCAATTATTAACATTTCTAACAGCAAGTGGGGAGCTCTGGTGGCATAATGCCTGAGGCATCTGACTGCTAACCAGAGGCTGGTAGTTCAAACCCACCAGTTACTCCTCGGAAGGAAGACTGGGCAATTTACTTCATAGAGATACTACCTCGGAAACCCAAGGAGCAGTCGCTGTGAGTCGGGATCAACTCGACAGCAGTGAGTTAATAGCAAGTGATACTTGAAAAACAGAGAACTGCCTATCAGTGAGAATGGCTGAACCTTGCTGTAAGATATTCTCTAGTTCCATACTTTAAAAAAAGAGACTATAAACCCTTTAGGTCACTATGAGTCAGAATTGACTTATACCACAAAACAACAACATGGGATGCCTAGAATGACATTTACATTTTGATGACCACCTGAAATCTTTTCATGCATCAAGAGTTTAGGTAAAATATATCTTTCTTACCAACACACTCAAAATGGGATTTTTAGATTAGATGAGTGATAGGAAACTTCCAAACTTGAGTCTAAGAAATTAATTATTTATAAAACAAAAATGTAAGTATTCCTTTCCATTTCCTCTAAAGATTACAGGAATAGGAAAGCTCTTCTGCACTACTTCCTCTCCATTTTACCTTCCAGCCACTGACCCCTTTACCTTTGCTGGGACTGCCTTGAGAGGTGTAAGATCCCAAGGTAATTGCTCAACCTCAGTCTGACTGTATTTACAAGCATGAGGAAATCACAGAGACCACTGTGGCATATTTCAATCAATGAAACGCAGCCTGAGGCCAAATAAAAATCAAAGTTTATTTGTGCCATGCTGACAAATAAAATGGGTGGAGTTTTATTTGGTCTCAGTTTGACATTTCATCTACTAAAATATGTGTATTACATACACATTACATGTCATTATTTCAGGAATATTTAGGGCAACATTCACTATATATAAACTATCAAATGAAAACAAGCAAAACCTACCTCTCTCTGTCTCTATGTATGTGTGAGTGTGTGTGTATAAATACTGATTTTATTTAAAAAAAAAAATGAATAGAGAAAAAACTAAAAAGTCCTACCAAAATGTTTCTGGTATAATTATGGATGATTTTTTACTTCCTCTATTTTTATTTTCCTGCTTTAGCTTTATAATAAAGGTGGGGGAACAATCATGAATAGAAGAATATGGAAATTGATTTTATTGGTAATACTTTTTACCAAAGCCAAATTCTTCCTCCAAGTATCAAAGGTTAACTATATATATGCTATCTGTATTAATAAGAAACATCTTACATTGCTATAAACGCTATTATTTCAAGGGGCTAAACATCTTGTTTTTTAAGAAAACAGCTTATCAGGTCAGTGCAAGAGTTACAGTCATCCCAAGTTTAGGTAAATCTGAGACAATGAGGAATGAAATCAAATACTAAGCCAAAAGATATTCAAGAACTTCCTCTTTCAAAGCCAAAGCTCCAGTAACAAGATCCTATTATCCTCCCATTTCCAAAAAGTAAGAACAGACTAACCGATGACAGGCCAGAACAAAATAAACAAATCATGTCTCCGAATCATCTGAGGAGGTTCTTAGACCACCTCAACACAGGAAGTACTTCAAGATGTGCTCCCTGTCTTCTTAGAATACACCATGCCCTCTGTAGCCTCATAACTCAGGTATTTTATAAAAACCTTCCTAAAATTAGTAGATCTGATTTTTAACAGTGCACTAGGCAGTTCATGTTAATGAAGCCACCATAAAAACTGTTTCTAACACTAACACACACACACATATACATACATACATACATAATTCTGTTTGCTAAGGCACCTGGTTAAACATTTTAAAGCTATTATACAATAAATGTTTATTCATTCATCACTCTTCAAAGTTAATTATGTTAAAAACAAAATATCTTAAAACATTTTTAAGAGCACTTGCCTTTTTCGCAGATTCAGAAAAGAGAACTCCATTGTTTCCAATAATACCTACTGGGTATCCAAATATTCTAGCAAATCCTCAAAAGAAAATTCAGAAAAGATTTATGTATTTCAGAGCACTTTTAATTTATACTAACAAATATACATTTATACATGTTTTAATTTCAGATCAAAGTGTGAAATATAAAGAGATTCTATGATAGAAAACAGTTCCTGTCACAATTCTTTATGCCAAAGGTACTAGAGTTTGGAAGTTGTGTTGCATGTTAAGATATCCACATGTCTAACTGGGTAGTTTGGTTAAATGGCTGGGCTTAGTGCTTCACCCATTCATTTGTTCAGCATACATCTGAGTGCTGCTGGGCATTAGGGATATAATGAAATAGAGCAAATCAAACATGTACTGTCCTTTAAAAGTCAACTTTAAGATCTAAGATCTATTGCCCAGTTTTAGATGACTAGCTTGCCTGAAAATGCCTGTGGTAATAATAGGGTCTTAAAGGGGAAAAAAAAAAAAAGGCAGGAACACAGTCAAGCCTGGTGACAACTAAGTTTAAAGTAAGGAACCCAGTTAAGCTAAGAAAAATGAATCACTCCAATTTCACTTCTGTGTTTGCATCTTTTTCTTTCTCCTTTCCACAGATTATATTTGCATCTCACCACCTCTTTCTCTACCACTCTGAACACCCACCCTCCATGCTCGTACACACAAATAAAGTAACACCCAATTGCTATTTTATGATGCAGAAATCTCTTAGGTGATTTCAGAGGCGGCTAATTATTTTGAAAATTTGAACAACTCAATTAGAGACCGTCCCAAGAATGTGATTTTCAACAAGGGAAGTGAATTTTAAAAAGCTTACTTTGAACTATTTAAAAAAAGAAAACCAACAAACTCACTGCTATCAAGTGGGATCCAATTCATAGTGACCCCTCCTTGAGTTTCCGAGGCAGTATCACTATGGAAGTAGATTGCCCAATCTTCCTTCTGAGGAGTGGCTGGTGGGTTTGAACCACCAGACTTCTGGTTAGCAGTCAAGTGCCTTAGGCACTGTGCTACCAGAGCTCCCTTGAACTATAAAGAGGTGTCAAATACTTGGAATGCAAGAGTCAACAAACTGTGATTGTAGAAGTGGGTCAAAGAAAGCATGCTATAAAAGTTCCTGGTACAAAACTCTCGTTTCTTCAAGCTCCAGTTGGACAGGGAGTGGCTAAGAGAAAGATCCAGCCCATGGTACCAGACAAAAAGTAGGTGCTCAAAACATTTGTTGAGGAAAAATTAACAGATGAGATTGTGGTGATGACTGCACACCATGATGAATGTAATTAGCACTGAATAGTATAAGTAAACAATGTTGACATAATAAACACATTGTTAGATACATTTTTACCCCCCACAAAAAAATTAATGGATGAGAGTGTCAACACCAAACTTTTATAATTTTTGTTCTTTATTCTAGCCTTTTTGTTTTTTTTTAAAAAAAAAAAATCATTATTTTATGTGATAAAAACAACACTGATTTGCTGGCCACCTAGATTCCTGTCTTTCGGGCCTAAAATCCCAGCCTAAGTCTGTGCTGCACATCCTATGAGTGGCACTGCCACTTATAGAAGCAATTCCAAAAACAAAAACAAACAAACAAAAAACCCAAGTGACCCTTCCTTGGGTTTCCAAGGCAGTATTTCTATGGAATTAGACTGCCCAGTCTTCTTTCCATGGGGTGGGCAGTGGGTTTGAACCACCAACCTTCTGATTAGCAGTAAAATGCCTTAGGCACTATGCCACCAGAGAGGGGGTCAAATTCTAGAAAGGTCTAGCAGTCTACTCTTCGTCCTGCCCCACTCCACAAAAGGAGATAGGAATCTAGTAACATGCTCACCATTATAATGCTATCCCTGAAGATACACTTCCCTGTTGACTATTTAGACTTTCAACCCATAATTAGCTCTGCTTGGGGTCTGTCAGGCAAAGGACTTGCTGGGCAGAACACATGACCTACAATGAAGGAACATCCATGGAGGGAGAGCCTTCACCAATTTCCGGACCCAAACATGAACTCCAAACAGGAAAGTAAAATGTTCAAGAAAGTACTAGGGCCTACACATGGTTAAGTGCCAAGACAGAAGGAACCCTTAACAGTTATCAGAGATACTCAATCCTCAGAGAAATTTCTTCTCCTCCCTCTGCTCCTCCCCTTCTCATGCTCCCCTCACCTTCTCATGGTTCCTGCACCTTCTCATGCTTCCCCTTACTCTATCAGCTACCCCTTACCCCTGAGCGTCCCCTCACTGTTCCCATGCCCCAGGGCTTCTCAACCACCCACCCCCAGCTCACTCACTCATTCCCCTCTTGTCCTTAGTACTTTCCTCCTTCCCCAACCCTATTTGAACTCTAGGGCAGTCAAGAAGAAATGAAGGAAACGGGATATATCCCTGATAATCTAGGGACAAGAGTGCCACAAGCCTTATCAAGTATGGAGCAAATACTTTTAAGTAGATGCCAAGGGCAGCCCATCCATCTTTAGAGAAAGCAGAAACTGCTCTAACCTGTTTTAAACTGGTTCACATTGAGAGTTTCATCTTGAACCATTTGGTGACAAAGCCTGACTATATATCAAAGAAAAGGCTCTCAATCACTTAAATACAAAAACATAAATTCTACTCCCAGAGTAAGCCCTTCACTTACTCATAAATCAGACCAGAAGAAAATATGACTTATCTTGAAACCTCAACATGTATTTGCAATTTGGACTTTTGCCAAAAAAGTTTCTATTCTACTCTGATAAGCTGTCTTCCGATTAGCTAATAGATTTTCAAGCACAAATGTAACTCACAAAATTTGTTTGGCCATTTGTCCAAGACAAATTATTATGGGTCTAGCATCTGTTTCAAATACTTTTCTCCAACGGTCTACAAACTGAACACTAGACAAAGGAATTAACTTTTACAAACATTCTTTTTTTTTTTTGCTTCCAGATATGGTATATGGCCCTGTTTCTCAATCTGTATTTACTAAATAGGCGTAAGATCCACACAAACGCTGTGGGAAGCTCTAACTCACTTTGCATCGATTCTGGGAGCTAAATATCATATAAAACTCCCCAGTGGAACTGGAGACTAAAGAACAAAGAAGACAGTGCTGAAAATTTCAAATAATTGGGAAACAAAAAGAACTGCAGATATTTTCTGCTAATTTTACTATGATAAGAACATTTTTATACAGTCAATGCCACAAAGTCACAGTTAAGAGCCTAACTGACATCATTTTAAACTCTCTGGATCCACGAAACCATTCAGCTACAAACAATCTTTGAAAAACAGCTCCTTTTGAATACTGACTCACACATTTGTACTGCACTAAATAACAAAGCTCATGCCAAGTGTTTTAAAAGACAGACATCATTATTTTCAAAGTCACAGAAAATGTTCATAAATTCAATTCTTCTCCTTTATACCTGTGACTAACGTGTCTCCATATAAGGCTTTGAACTCATTGAATCTGCTTCCATCCACGATTCTAGCAATAACCTAAGAGAAAAAATAACAATGTCCCTGAGAAATTGCATTACAAAAGAATGTTTGTGTTAAAATTATTTATAAGGAAAACAAATTCACAGTGAAGTTGTCACTTTCACAAAATTTCACCCCACATAGAAAATCTTCTCACCATAATTTCACTTTACATGCATGTCCTGAAGCCATGCTGAGCTCTGATTTGACACTTCACTACAAAAACAATAGCACCATGTTACATATAAGAGAAGCAAGAGATTCATTCCATGGGCTGGTTTCTAGTCTGAGAGCTTCCAGGACTGTTTGGCTGTATCCTCAGAGCTTCAGGGATTCAATCACAAAGCAGGGAAAATGACAGAGGGCTTAGAGTCAGAAGACATGGGTGCCAAGTCACAGTGTCACACATGGTCTGTGTGTCCTTGAATTCGCTATTTAACCCCTCTGAGTCTGTTTTCACTCCTGGAAAGATGGGACAAAGCTGTGAAGATGTGATAAACTAAATTAGTAAAGGAATCTAAGAAAAGAACACGGAAATTAAGAACCAGCTGTGAGTCCCAGCTCTACCACCGAGAAACCAGAATCACAGGCTGGTTACGGAAGAATCCTTAAGTCTCCATTTTCCTTGTTGTTGTTTTAAGGAAATAAAGTATATTTAAGAAGTGCTAACTAATGCCCAGTGTCTGGCTCTCATTACAAGGTAGCTGTTACAGTTGACCTTAAACAACACAGGGACTAGGGGAACCAACCCCCTGCACAGTTGAAAATCCACATGTAACTTTTGACTCCCCAAAAACTTAACTACTAATAGCCTACTGCTGACTGGAAGCCTTACTAATAAAATGCTCTATTAACACAATTCTTGCTGTACGATTATGAGATGTTCACACAAGGATACTCACATACCTACACAGCAGATAAATTTATTAACTATATGGCATGATGATTATTTATTATTCATTAAGAAGTTGTTGTTGTTATGTGCCGTTGATCCAAGGCAGTATCACTGCGGAAGTAGATTGCCCCATCTTCCTTCCGAGGAGTGGCTGGTGGGTTTGAACCGTCAGCCTTCTGGTTAGCAGTCAAGTGCCTTAGGCACTATGCTACCAGGGCTCCCTTATTAAGAAGTAGATCACCATAAAGGTCTTCCTTATCGTTGTCTTCACAATGAGTAGGCTGAGGAGGAGGGGGAAAAGGAGGGCTTGGTCATGCTGTCTCAGGAGTGGCAGTGGTGGAGAGGAGGAGGGGAGACAAGAGAGGCAGGTACACTCATTGTAACTTTATGGAAATACGTCATAATTTCTATCTTTTTTTTTGCTTTTTCATTTCTCTCAAAATGTTCCTATATAGTACCAACCCTTCTTCCACCATTTGCTTTCGTTTCAGTGCCTGTATCACAGAAGTGTCTATGTCATGAAAAAAGTCAAAAGCAGTCTTGAATAATCAGAACCCTTGTGCCAGATTGTCTAATGTCAATTTGTTTTCTGGCACCGCTTCTTCCTCATTGTCTGGGACTGGTTCAGAAGCACTTATCTCCATCAACTTGTCTTCTGTTAATTCCTCTGGTGTGGCTGTGGTGTCTAATAGCTCTTGAATTTCTCCAAGACCCACATCTTGGGGGGAAAAAAAAAAAAAACTCATGTATAAGCAGTCCATGCAAGATCCTTCCTATGGTAAGTTGATTTTTGACAAAGGGCTGAAATCCATTGAATGAGGAAGAGATGGTCTCCCTAACAAATGGTGCTGGGAAAACTGGATGTCCATTTGCAGAAAAATGAAACAAGATCTGTACCTCACACCATACACAAAAACTAAGTCCAGATGGTTCAAAGATGTAAATGTGAAACCTAAAACTACAAAGTTCCTTGAGGAAAAACCAGGGGCAAATTTAGGGGCCCTAATTTAAGGCATAAAATCGATTTATGTACTGTATAGGAACATTTTGAGAGAACTGAAAAAGTAAAGTCTACTTATGCCATAAATTAGGGCCTCTAAATTTGCCTCTAGTTTTTCCTTGAGGACCTTTACATTTAAATCTTTGATCCATCTGGAGTTAGTTTTTGTGTATGGTGTAGTGTACACACTATACAGTTTTGCCAGCACCATTTGTTAGAGAGACCATCTCTCTGGTAGCATAGTGCCTAAGGCACTTGACTGCTAACCAAAAGGCTGGCGGTTCAAACCCACCAGCCACTCCTCAGAATGAAGGTTGAGCAATCTACTTCCATAGTGATACTGCCTTGGAACCCAAGGAGGGGGTCGCTGTGAGTCAGGTCTGACTCGACAGCACATAACAACAATTTATGGCATAAACAGACTGCCAAGCATAACCCAAAATGCACAAACAGCTAAAGATAAACTAGATAAATGGGATCTTCCAAAAATTAAATTTTTATGTGCTTCCAAAGACTTCTCCAAAAGAGTCAAAAGAGAACCAACCTACAGATTGGGAAAAAGTATTCAGCAGCAACATATCTGATAAGGAACTTACCTCTAAAATTTAAAGAAAACTCCAATATCTTAACAACAAAAATATTAACAATCCAATTAAAAAATGGGCAGAAGACATGAATAGACACTTCACCAAAGAGGATATTCAGGTGGCCAACAAACACATGAAGAAATGCTCACAATCATTAGCCATTACAGAGATGCAAATCAAAACAACGAGATACCATCTTGCCCCAGCACTAGTAGCAAAGTTCAACAAGACAGAAAATAACGAATGCTGCCAAGGATGTGGAGAGATTAGGACTCTTATACACTGCTGGTGGGATTCTAAAATGATACAACCACTGTGGAAAGCAGTATGGCCATTCCTTAAGAAGCTGGAATTAGAAATACCATTTGACCCAGTAATCCCATTATTAGATATATATCCTAAGGAAGTGAGAGCCAGGATAAGAACAGATATATGCACACCCATGTTCATCACAGCACTATTTATAATAGCCAAAAGATGGAAACAACCTAGGTGCCCATCAACAGAAGGATGGATAACCAAACTATGGTACAGTGGAATACTACGCAACCCTAAAGAATAATGTAGAATCTGCAAAACACTGTATAAAATGGATGAACTTGGAGGACATTATGCTAAGTGAAATAAGTCAATCACAGAAGGAAAAATATAGTATTAGTTCATTATTGTAAAAAGTCAAGGAAAGGTTTATATATGTGTGGTAGTTAGGGTTGAATGTCAATTTGGCTGGGCCTGGTTGAGTGACTGGGCATCTCTGGATGTAGTTATTCCTCATTGTAAGTTGGTAATTAACTCCATGGTGGAATCTACTGGAGCAGCTGAGTAGCTGCTTTAGGGATGTGGGCTGCTTCCAGTACATAAGCAGCAGCTTTGAGGAAGGTCTCCAGCTTACGGCACGTTTGAACCCTGCATGAAATCAAGTCATTGTTCAGCACCCTGCCATGCTCTGCCAATCATAGGACTGTCAATGGACTTCAATCAACAGCCTCCCATGTGGTTTGGTAACACTGGGACTGTGCCTTTTTCTTTGTCAGTCTTGGGTTTGTCAGCCTTAGCAGCCAGCACTGTCCGAGAGAAAAGAAGCCTCTAACTTCAGTGGGCCGGGAACAAGAAGCAAAGCTAAAGCCTAAGGTCAAGGGACTTTCACCCAGCCCCTAGAGCCCGGCACTTTGAACTCGGACTTCTAGCCTCCCAAAGTGTAAGAGAATAAACTCCTGTTTGTTCAAGCCATCTCATTTGTGTCATTTCTGTTCGAGTGGTACCAGTTACCAAAACAATATCGTAGTTATGTGCCATTCAGTCAGACCTGACTCATAGCAACCCCTCCTTGGGTTTCCGAGGCGGTATCACTATGGAAGTAGAATGCCCAACCTTCCTTCTGAGGAGTGGCTTGTGGGTTTGAACCACCAGCCTTCTGGTTGGCAGTCAAGTGCCTTAGGCACTATGCTACCAGAGCTCCTATGGAAGGAAACTTTCTTTGTTGGTTACCAGGGGTAGGAGGGGAGAGGAGGGAATGCTGCAGAAGAAAAAAAAAAAATCATCAACCCATGTCACTTTACTTTTGTGTATGTCACTGTACATAAATTATATTTCAATAAAATGTATTTTTAAAAAAATAGTAAGTGGACCATGCAGTTGAAACCCATGTTACTTGAGGGTAGCTGTGTTATTATTATTACTACTAGGTCTACAATAAGGTTCAATGATTCTGAATCTGATATATATGAAAGATCATCCCACATACACATTATTAATCTAAAAAGAGTAGAAGTGACTAAATAGTTCATCTTTAGGGCTCATAATTTTACATTAGGACTATTTCAAAGAGTCCCAAACATGAAGTATATTTCAGACTTTTTCAGAAACTATTTCAGATGATAGATACTATTTTTTAATCTAGCTCTCATTTCCTTTTTCTGTTTGCCACATTAAAGTCTTTTTTCATAAGATGCAAAGGCTGAAAAATGAGTGACTATTTCCCAATACCTTTCTTTCCATAAAGTAAAAGTTTACTTTGAATTATTTGGTAGTTAAAAGGTCTGATAACATGATGAGAAAATCACATCGTTCTATTCTAGGTGTTATATACCTCTGTAATTGTACCCTTTTATAAACAATCAATGTGTAACAACTGCCATTCTTTTCACGTATCAAAACAATAAACAGTCACAAAATAATCACTGTGTCTTAGAAATACTAAGCAGAAATAACAATTTTTAAAAGGGAGAAAGGACGTTACTTACTAAGAACAGCACAGGAAGAAACAGAAATAGTCTACAACAAAGATAAAGTCACTCAGATGGGACAGCAACCTAGTGCCATTTAGTACAATACAATCTTCCTTCATTTGCTCTATACTTTACATCACCCAGTCACGTAAGATATATTAACTCATCTTCATAAAAACCCAAGTTTCAAGAAGCAGATAGAGCAGAATAGCAATTCCTAGAAGCAGAAACCAATATTCAAAAGAGGATAAATCCCAGTACCAATAACTAGGGGAACAAGGACAGCAATCTGGGTTTTCCAACTCACATTCCAGTGCTATCTCACAGTTCCAGACACTAAAGACTTGTACCCACATCTTACTTCCTATTACAGGAAACTGTGATAAATTACAATCATAATCATCAGCATGAATCAAGAAAAGTAGAACGTTCAGTATATTTTTTTTAAGAAGGTTGGAAAGCGTCTATCTTTTTAAAAAGATTTCCATTAAAATGAAATGGAAATATCAACAATACATGGATTTGTATCTGCTTTTCTGTATCTCTAATATCTGAAACAATGCCTAGCATTGAACAAGTACTCTAAAATACTAGTGAATAAATGAAAAAAGTGCTTATGCTGAAAAGAATGAATTCTTAGCCATGTAGAAAACTTAGACTATCTAGAACAACTCCTTTTTCTAGTATACCAGATTTTAAGTACTTTATTTTCTGTGCTGTAATTAATTGAAGAGTCAAACTAGAAACCCAATTTTAAAACTTGAAATTAACCAAGTCACTCGTTAATACGAAGTATCAGTTAAGCTCCATAACATCCAAGATTTAATGTACTCTAGAAATAATAGCATACAGCCCAAATAAATAATTGTATACACCTATACAATGGACTATTACACTCATCAATTCATTCAACAAATATTTACTGAGTGCCTATCAAGTGCTAGGCATGGTGCAGTTACAGGAATCAGGGATCTGGTCATGGAAAATGTTGCATGAAGAACATTTCATGAACTTTTAAAGACATGGGGATACAATTTAATATTGGGAAAAGAACATGTAGGTATATGTTATCTCAATTGCCTAAAAATGTGTTTATTCTATTACACATATAATATATATATACACACACACATACATTAAGGTAAAACACCAAAATATCAGTTATTTTCTCTCTATGGTGGAATTTTATGTTCTTCTGTATTTTCTAAATTTTTCACAATTAATATGTAATAGTCAAGGGGAAAAGTAACATAATATTATGATCTCTAGCACAGAGCATGATATTAATTTCCCAATTTAAAAATCATTCTTCCAACTCTGCCTACTGAACAAAATAAGACTACATGCTGTATGCAAACACTAAAAACTATCAATTTAAATTACAGAAGACTATATTGATAATTTGTAACCACAGCAACATCTTCCACTGTAATCAAAAGTCTAATCTTTGCTAATGTCATGCTAATCTAAAAGGATTTTTTTAACGAGGTGACATTTCCTCCATTTCACAAAATAAAAACACTGAAAAGAAACAGCTGAAATTATGAAAGTGCCCACATCATTTCTAATGCCAACAAGAAAGTGGGATGGTGTCCAGGAACAAAGTGAGCTTTGTCACTGTGCGATGGAAAGGGTACAATAAGTAAGAGGGATTTACCCCACTCCTTGAGTATTTAGAGTGTACCAAAGATACTTACACTATGGAAACGTATCTGTCCCTTACATGTCACTCCTCACTGAGATCCTCATCAATCCCTGGGCATGAGCATATCTTTAATAGACTTTAGCTTTGAAAGTGAATACACATTTAAAGAAACAGACAGCATGGCTTACAGCTTTTAGTCTCATTGTTACATACTTCTCGAACATCAAAGTTCCTCTTAAGGTTAGTACCAACTATTCCATATAATTCATCAGCAGGAAATAAAGGGTCTTCAGAAGGTTCAACAGTAACCTGCAGAAATACAGAAAAATCTTACTAACCTCGATAAAGACATTATCATCATGTAACATAAGCCAAAATGCTTTTGAGAAAAAATAAAAGATACAAGAATATATCCTACTCACATCCAATTTCTTCTGGTAATTTAGATTCCTCACAACCTTCCTAGTTAGGTACAGGGCATGAAAATCATCCAAAGCATAGTAGTCACACACTCCAGACTTTCTAGAGAATAAAGCACAATAAAATAATCAGAACAGAGAAAACGAAAATAATTTAGTATCTTAAACCACAAATATCTTTTCTCTTCAAAGGATGATAGCACTTCCACTTTCAAAACATTTTTCAAAATGGCTTCTAATTTTTACTCATAATGTCTCTGGCAAAGCAGTATTATCCTTGTTTTACAAAAGGAAAAATTGAAGCACACGTAAGTAATTTGCCCAATGACTACCAGCAGCTGCTGAAAAACCCATGCCTTCTGTTTCTCAATCTTGGCTGCCTTCTATTAGACTACTGACTACAGCATCCATTATCCCCATTCCATGCACTTCAAACGTGATAAGATCCAACCACGCTTTCCTGATGCTGGTAACAGCAGAAACTATTTGTGACTGACTGAGCTTCTAATGAAGATGCCAGTTACTCTACTGCTGAGCGCCTGCTGAGCTTCCCCTCCTTACAAAGCTACACCCTAAAAGCCATCGCAGGTAACACAAAGGCCTGACTACAACTGCCCCTCAGAAACAGGTATTGATAAAATGATTCTGTAGGAAAGGCCATATGCAGGTTCCCACTCAATTTCAAGTTTGGTGTGAATGGAGCATGGGCTTGCTCAGGTTATTAGTTCTGCCCAGACTAGATGGCTTGTTGTCTCAGATGTGGATGTACATACTTCCTAGTAAAGCATTTAAAAAGAAAGGAAAAAAAAAAAGCACTTGTAAATTAAGGCAAATAAATAAATCGACTTCTGGTTCATTTTATGAGTCAGGACTAAGCTGCCAAAATCTAAATTTTGTTATCTTATCTAGGAGAAAACACCAAAACCTTGTGAGGTATTTCTTAAAGCCAGGTTCTCATAGTGGTTTCACATCCCTTTCCACCTCTGGAATGGGTATTCCTAAATCAGAGCAGGGACCAGGCTTACTCCTCCAATGCCTTGCAGTGAGAGACCCTTGAATGTTTTATTTAATATGGCATTTTACAACTGACCATCAATAATACCTCACACATATTAACAGCTACAATGGCTGACTTTTGGCTACACTGTAGTAATTTAGAAAGCAGCCAGAAACAGAAGAAACTGCTTCTAAATTGGTAAATCTTTAAAATAAAATGATTTCTTATAAAAACTGCCTATTATTTAATACAACAGTAGGAACAGGAACCCTTTGATGAAACATTATATTCTAAATTTATGTAAGCCTTTTGTGAAAGTTGCTGAGGGGTGACTAATCAGAGAGATGTAAGTATCTTTTATAAAGAGAAAGAGAGCCCAAAGCTGTGACCACTAAATTTTATGACAGGTATGGGGAGGGGGGACCATCATCACCTAATTATTTTTTAATTATTTTAAACATGTTATTAGTGGTGGTTAAGGTTGTGTATCAACTTGGCTAGGCCGTGGTTTTAAGTGGCTGGGCAGCTGGATGTAGTTATTCCATGAGACTGTAATCACCTCCATGGTGGAATCTGCTGTGTGCAGCTAAGTAGTTGCCTGTAGGGTATGGCCTGTTTCTAGTATATAAGGAGAAGCTTTGAGGAAGCTTTCTAGCTTTTGGCATCTGGATCCTGCATTTGGCTGAGTCTTCATCTCAGTGGCCTGCCATTTTGCCTGCTGATCTCAGGATTCTTCCAGAATTTGAACTAGTGGTCTGCTGTGTTACTTGCTGATCTGGGACTGTGCCATTTTACCTGCTGGCGTTGGACTCCTCAGCCTCAGTGGCAGCAGCTGCCTGAGTTAGGAGATGCCTCTAGTTCTAGTGGGTCTGGAATAAGAGGCAGAGCTGAAGCCCAAGGTCGAGGGGCCTTTATCTAACCCCAAGAGCCAGCACTCTGGATTTGGACTTTTAGCCTTCTGAACTGTAAGAGAATAAACTCCTGTTTGTTAAAGGCATCCACTTGTGGTATTTCTGTTACAGCAGCACTAGAGAAGCAAGACAGTAATATAATAGCTAATAGTAGTGGAGTGCTTAGTGTGTACCAGGCACTGTGTGATGAGGTAGGTACTATTCATGTCTTCATTGGACATGAGAAAATGAGGCTCAGGGAGGTTAAGCAGTTTGTCAAAGTCATCTGGCTAGTAAGTGAGACAACTAGAAGATGGATTTCTGAGCTTACAATTTTAACTTGATATACTGTCTATAGCTTTTATGGGCACAGATTATTTTTTTTTAAATAGCCAAATTAAAAAAATAATAATAAAACTAAACCCAAACCCACTGCCACTGAATTGATTCTAACCCATAGCAACCCTATAGACAGGTTAGAACTGCCCCCTGAGGTTTCCAAGGCTGTAAATCTTTATGGGAGCAGACTGTCTCATCTTTCTACTGAGGAGCGGCTGGTAAGTTTGAACCACCAACCTTTTGTTTAGTAGCTGAATTCTTTAACAACTACACTACCAGAGTTCCTTATTTTAATAATAATGTTCCTCAAATACTCTTCACCTCTTTTCCCTGATTAAGCCAATAGTTGCCCACTTAGCCCTATACCCTTAACTCACCCTATTCTACCTGTGGCCACATTCTCTCAAGGTTTAAACATCCTCTCCAGAAGGCCAAGCAATGTCCTCTCTGAAATGATCAGTAAATTGCCAGATATTGTGCAGGAAAGGGTTAACTCAGCAGAACTGAGTTGCTTAAACTCTGCACATTTCCTCTCTTTAGGACTAGCCTTTAGCCCTCTCTGGAAAATGACCTCTGATCCCCTGGAATATTCTGCCTGGTAAGAATGCTTTGGTACACCTGAGACCTTGGACCAGGAAGTACCAGTTTGATCAAATAATTTATGCCAACATAATGTTTTATACCGAACACGTATTTTTGCTCTTGGGGGCTTGAATCTGTGTAACTGAGGTAACTTAAGTAGGCACTGCATGTCTACGTGACTGATCGCCAGCAAAAACCCTGGATACCCAAGCTCACAGTGAACTTCCCTGGTTGGCAATACTTCACACATTGTTGCTGGAAAGATTAAGAGCACGTGTGCAACTCTATTGAGAAAGGACAGCCAAAAGCTTGCACCTGGTTTCTTCTAGACTTCATCCCAACACACCTTTTCCCTGTGCTGATTTCTTCTGTATCCTTTCACTGTAATAAATCATAACCATGAGTATAACAGCTTTTCTGAGTCCTTCTAGAGAATCATAGAAACTGAGGGTAGTCTCGGGGACTCTGAACACAGACGGCAATGCTGTATCCATGCTCACACAGTTCCACTCACCTAAATAAATAAGTATTTTATCCAAACTCAGCCAGAAAACTCATTTCCTGACTCATGTTCTCTGACAACCTCAATTCTACACCAGTCATTCTCTTAATCATTCTTCCTTTGGCCTTTAGGTATAAAACTAGATGCTTATTAGCAAATTTATTTTGTAAATTTTTTTTGGCTCATTCATTCATATCTCTTATCTGCCTAATTATAAATCATTGGGTCAAGCAGGGATTAAGTCTGAAATTCTTCTGTATTGCTCATAACACTCAGTACAATCAATCTACCCCCAATAAGTACTCAATGAGGGAGGAATAAATGAAAAACCAAGGCAATGTTCCTTAACCAACTAATCATAATGCATGGCAGTGTTTTTTGATAGGAATGTAGAAATGTTACCACCCATCTTCCATCTCCCACTTACTGGACTCCTCTCATTGCTGCTGGCCCCCTGGGTTTGCAGTTTGGCAGAGCAAAGGGAGGTTTACTGTACCAACTACGCCACTGGGTTTAATTATTAGATACACTTGCCATTTAAGTCTGAGTTCCTCAGAACATTGTCCTGGGCCAACTCCTCTTTCTGAAAGTAGGCACATCTAGCGCATGGTTTTGAAGTTCACCTCTATGCTGCTGACTCTGAAATAAAGATCTCCAGCCCACATTTCTCCTTAGAGCTTCATACTCTTTTAAGACAACTGCCAAGTCATCATCACTGGCTGAGTTTCTCACAGCATCCTGACCTTATCAGGTCCCAGAGGAATGCTTGACCCCTTGATGCATCGCCAAATCTGTTCCACTTTCCTCTACTCCTTATATGAGATTCATCTACAAGTGTCTCGATTCCACCTCTAAAACAGAACTCAAATGTGTTCACTTCCCTCTACCTTATCTACTGGCCATAACACCCATCTAAACCACCATCATCTCTCACCTATGCTGCTGATACAATCAGCCCACTGGTCCTCTACTTAAAGAGTCCTGCCAATCCTCCGAACATTCTCCATTTGGCAGCCAAAGGGATTTTTCCAATGAAATATCTGATAAAGGGGTATCTCTGCTTAAAAACTCTTCAATGATATCCCATTGCTCTTAATAAAAGAACCCAAAACCTTCAAAGGCTAATGATAATAAACAACAATAAGGGCAGTTTTACTTGTAGGTACTTACTTAAAGTAGGTATTGTTTCAAGCAATTTACGTTTATTATCTCATTTAACCCTTACAAAAAGCCTAGGATATAAACTATATTATTACCCCTGAACACTAACTTGAAAAGGTTAAAAGAGCAGTGTGCTGGAGCCAGCTCATACTTGGCCCACAAAAGCCTACCGTGTATCTCTCTCTCTGATATTATATTCAGTGATGCCATGTTGGTAACTTGAAATCCATCGTGGTGGGATAATTTGTACAACAGAAATCAGCAAACACCACAAATCAAGGTAGCACTGGGTGAGGTCCGCTTCTATATGCTCTTTTATAGCCCTCACTACACATACACAGTTCATTTTGTTAATCCCATTTCAACTAGAATATTAGCTCCATGCAGACAAAAACAGTGTCCATCTTATTCACTGCCTTATATTCAGCACTTAGAGCAGTGCCTGGTACATAACAAGTGCTCAATGAATGCTTATTAAATAATTAAGCTCATCTCTCCAGTGCTCCTGAGATTTAACAGGAAAGCTGACCACCTAGCTTAAAAATACAACCCTACAATTTAAAGAATTTAGCCTGAAAAAGTAGATTGAGAATGAAAAAAAGTATGGTTTGGTCTGTCAAGATTAGCCCTTGAAAAAATCATATAAAAATTCTTTAAATAAACAAACAATATCTACCACCAATCTGGGTAAGAAACAGCTATTTCTGTCTCACCTACAATGAAGATCAGCACCTCCAAGGTCCTCAGCAGAAACCTCTTCTCCAGTTGCTGCTTTAACCTGCAAGATGGATAAAAATCAGTGGTGATATTTGTCCACCAGAAATAATAAAAATGCTTTCCTGACAGGCACATGTCCTGACTATACCTACCACCCGTTTTCTCACAGAGTGAAAGAACACTGTTTTTTCTTATTCTATCCATTCAGCAAACCTACATAGTATTATCTCCAGTCTACTGATGAAGAAAACTAAACCAAGAGCCACTAAGAAAATTGCCCACAGCCCTTTGGCAAGTGAAGGAGCCTGGTTGAGACCATCCTTTCCCCTACACTATGCTGCCTTGACACACGTTAAAGCCCTGCCTCTGCATATGCTATTCTCACTGCCTGAGATCCTTTCTCCTTCTCACCTTCATGGTGAATTCCCACTTACTGTTGAAACCCCACCTCTATGTGGCTTTTCCTAGCCAAACCCGCCCTTCCCATCAATAATGATATGCACAGGATTAATAGAGCAGTGTTTGCTCATCTCTGGTCCAAGATTATTCTACTTACACTTCTAACATGGCACCTGCCACACTGTATTACAGTAGCGTGCATGCGTCTCTGTCTTCTCTCCCATACTGTGAATTCTTTGAGGGCAGAAACTATGACATATTATCTTTGGACACTCACATTTGAATAAATTTGTATTGAGTCAATGCTTTCTTTTCATAACTCATCACCTAAACCAAAAATTTCCAGTTACCATCAAAGAAACAGTATGTACTACCTTTAAGGTAGGAAAATAATCTCCCAGATTACTTACATCTAACATTCAGCAAGATAAGATCAAAAAGAAAAGAATCTCAAGTTATAAATTAAGAATGACTTAATTATAGCATGAGAAATTCTAATGGGAAGAAGAAAGAAAAATTATTTAGTGCTAAATGCCAACTTGGTATCTTAGAAATTACTTATTGATTCCTATTTCTTTGGTTTGATTAATTTGCTTCCTTTTCTTTAAACAGGAAATGTTTTTATTAGAATAATGAACATTAATCTAAACACAGCATAGAACGAACTTCTCCTGCAGCAAAATCTTTGTTGTAAATACAGTATTATTCCACAGGGAGCAGTAATTGAAATTCTCACCTCCAATTTTTCCACCCTCAGAACTAAATTATTGGTCTTCTTCCTTCCAAAAAATTTAGTGTGAAACAGAATTCAGTCCAGATAATAACTAATTAGAAGGGTCTGAATATTTAAAGTTGTAAAAAGGAATAAACAACCAATAAACTGTATTTATTTTCAGGGATCTGACTAATATAAACTGCAAAAAGAAAATGAAGATTTGTCATCGATTATTTTTTGAATACCCACTACATGTTGATACAGTGAAAGGTACAAAGATGCTAAAAGTCAAAGAGAAAATTTAAATAAAACAGCTCATTCAACTAAATAACAAGTACAGAAGACACAAAAGGCAGGAGAACAAAGGCTTCTTCAAAAACTTATTACTATCCGTTTTTAAACCACTCAGAGCTGCTATAGCAACTCAACTCCACGCTATTTGTGGAATCTACAAAACCTTTTCTCAACTTTTAGTAAAACAAGCATCAGAATTCAGAATTCTCAAATAGATCAACTGCTGCTGCTTCTTTCTCCCCCCAAAACAGGGTCTTCCAGAGGCTGATGACTATCAAGGTTCTGTTCTTTCTCTAAGAAAACTATAGGTTTCTTTGGCTAAGTTGTTTCTTTCAAATGTGAAACGCTGAATCCACTCAACACACATTGTAACATTTCCCATTAAACAAAATCTTCTCTAGAAAACATCTGGCATTATTCCAGTATTATGATCCTGCCAGTCTTCTCAATAAGATGCTTTCAATGTTTAGTCACATCTTTACTCATTTTCTTATGACAAACAAATGAGAAATATTCATGAAACTTTGTACTCTGGGCTATACAAAAGTACACTTGGAGCGAATTTTCTTTTGATTAGCCAAAGATAGTATCATGCACAAGTGGAGAAAAAAAAAATCTAAGAATAACCACCACAGGCTTTCTGAATACTTCCTGGGGACTGTTGTTGTTGTTGTTGTTATGTGCCTTCGAGTCAGACGTGACTCATAATGACCCCTCCTTGGGTTTCAGAGGTGGTATCATCACTACGGAAGTAGATTGCCCAACCTTCTTTCCGAGGAGTGGCTGGTAGGTTTGAACCTCCAGCCTTCTGGTTAGCAGTCAAGTGCCTCATGCATTAGGCTACCAGAGCTCCTGCTGGAGACTATTAGCACATCTGAAATGGTAGCTCTTTGGGTATAACTGATCTTCAATAAAAGTCATTAAAAATTAAAACAATCCTGTGGAAAGCAATATGGCAATTTCTTAAAATGTGGAAATTAGAAATACCATTTAATCCAGAAATTCCATTACTAGGTATATATCCTAAAGAAGTGAGAGCTAGGACAAGAACAGATATATGCACACCCATGTTCACTGCAGCACTATTTACACTAGCCAAAAGATGGAAACAACCTAGGTGGCCATCAATGAATGGACAATCAAACTGCGGTACATACACACTATGGAATACTAAGCAACCCTAAAGAATAATGCAGAATCTGCGAAACACCACATAACGTGGATGAACTTGGAGGACATTATACTGAGTGAAATAAGTCAATCACAGAGGGACAAATAGTGTATTAGTCTGTTACTGTAAAAAATCAAGGAAAGATTTATATAAGGAAGGAAATTTTCTCTGTTGATTACCAGGGGTGGGAGGGGAAGGGAGAGAAGATAGATAAGTAGAGACAAGTATTGATTTGGGTGAAGATAAGGGCAATGTACCAAATGTGAGTGATCAACACAGTGGCATTGAGGAAGAGAAAGACAGAGAGAGGTACGTGGGAGGTATAGGCAACAAACATGAACCCTTTTTCACATACATTACTGCATTGTCAGTGATGGCAAACACTGATCTACGGGTAGACAGATGGGAGGACAGGATCAACAATTAGGTATGTCTATGCAGGAAGAAGTGTGCCCATGACCATGCATAAAGTTGGCAGACAATATTTCTACAAGTGTATTTATATGTTCTGTAAGAATGTCCAGATATAGGGGGATCTCTGTCAGAGATCCTGGAGAGTGGGAGAACAATGTGGAACAAAACTCAAAATCATAAGGACCAGGTTTGCTAGTCTGACAGAGCCTAATGGAACCACTGAGACTATGACCCCTAGGTATCCTTTAGGTCTGGAATTGAATCCATTCCCATGGCTTCCAACCAAAGAAAAGACAGGCATATGAGCTGAACATTTACATTAGGTAGATACACTCCTTGGAGAGATCAATCATGGGAGAATAGAGAGGCTGTATGCTCTAGACAGCTCGGGGGCAGTACACAGGAGGTAAGGACACAGGGAAGAGGTGACTATAGGGAGAAGTGGGAGGGGAGTTGTTACACTGTGGGAAATTGTAGTCAATGTCATGAGATAAAGTGTATGTGAGCTGCTGTATGGAAAGTGAATTTGCTCTATAAACTTTCACCCCATATCACAATAAAAATTAAAAAAAAAAAAAAAGAACGTCCAGGTATATAGTAGAGCTGACAAGGGACAAGGTTGTAGTCACTTCTTAGCCATAGCCAGTGATCCAGAAGGAGCAAGCAGTTGGACCTGTGGGCCTGGGACCATAGTCATAAGGGACATCAAGCTCAACTGGAATAACATACTACACAAAACATTATTCCATATCCTACTTTGGCGAGTAGCGACTGGGATTTTAAAAGCTTGCAAGTGGCCATCTACATGCAACAATGCGTCTCTCCTCGTCCAGAGCAAAGAAGAATGAAGAAAACCAAAGATGCGTAGAAACAATTAGTCCAAGCAACTGGTACACGATACAATCCTCAACCTATATGACTATGAAACCAGAAAAACTAGATGGTGTCCATCTAGTCAACCACTGTCAACCACTCAGAAAGGGTGAGAGATACGTAGGAGATCCTAAACAGAGTAGCAGAACAATAAGGAACAAAACTCAAAATCACAAGAAAAAAAAAAGGGACCAAATTTGCTGGTCTGATAAAGCCTGATGGAACCACTGAGACTATGGCCCCTAGCTGCCTTTCAGGTCTGGAACTTAACCCACTCTCATGGCTTCCAGCCAAAGAAAAGAAAGGCATATGAACTGAACCTTTACATTAGACAGATATACTCCTTGGATAGATCAATCATGGGAGAATAGAGGGCTTTGTATGCACAGGGAGACAGCTGGGGGGCGGGGCAGAAGTGCATGAGAGGGAAGGACATAGGGAAGAGGTAACTATGGGGAGGAAGTGGGAGGGGAGCTGTTGCATTGCGGTAAATTGTAGTCAATGTCATGAGACAAAGTTATGTGAACTGCTGTATGGAAAGTGAATTTGCTCCATAAACTTTCATCCAAAAAACAATAAAAATTTCAAAAATTAAAAAAAAAAAAAATGGTTGTAGCAGTATATTGACAGAGACCTTCCAGAAATGCAAGCTGGATTCAGAAGAGGAGGTGGAATGAGAGATATCATTGCTGATGTCAGATGGATCTTGGCTGAAAGCAAAGAATACCAGAAAGATCTTTAGTTGTCTTTTATTGACTATGCAAAAGCATTCGATTGTGTGAATCGTAACAAATTATGGATAACATTGAGAAGAATGGGAATTCCAGAACACTTAATTGTGCTCATGAGGAACCTATACATAGACCTGCAGTCCATCATTCAAAAGATAAGGGGATACTATACTACATGGCTTAAAATCAGGAACAGAGGGTGTCAGGGTTGTCTCCTTTCACCATACTCACTCAATGTGTATGCTGAGCAAATAATCTAAGAAGCTGGAATATATGAAGAATAACATGGCATCAGGATTGGAGGAAGCTCATTAACAACCTGCAATACGCAGACAACACAACTTTGCTTGCTGAAACTGAGGATGACTTGAAGCATTTACTGACAAAGGTCAGGCACTATGGATTACATCTCAACATAAAGAAAACAAAAATCCTCACAACTGGGCCACTAAGCAGCATCATGA